ATATATATATATATATATATATATATATATATATATATATATATATATATATATATATATATATACATATATATACATATATATACATATATATAATAATCGAACTTCAGTGTATCCGAATTTCTCTGCGTTGGAACGAGATTTTAACACATTCGGAAAGACCATGCTTTTAGCTGTTGAATAATAACTTCTTCATGCCAAATGGATAAAAAATAAGCAAATACAAATCCGATAAAAAATGTTAGTCAGAATCGCATATTCTCACCGTTGAGAGTTGGGTCTAAAACCATTGAAAATCAACTCCCTTTAGTACTTAAGTTGATGAATTTCACTTCATTAAACTATGCACGTATTCATAATTATTATTAAATAGGAATAAATCTTAGCTAAGCTACGACACGTTAGTGATTAATTGATTTTTCTTTTGTTATGCATTGTTTTAATTAGGCAAAGAGGTGAAAATACGCGATTTTGACTAACATTTTTGATCGGCCTCGTACATGCTTATTTTTTCTCCACTTGGTATGAAAAGCATGTCATTGAACAGCCAAAATCCTGATCTTTCCAAATATGAAAATCAATTCTTCATACGCCGAGTGATTCACGTATAATAGCGCGCCGATTACCTTTTTTTTATACACCCTGTATTTATGTATATATATGTATATATATATATATATATATATATATATATATATATATATATATATATATATATATATATAACTACAGACGGTACCGTTTCGGCCTTTTGGGCCTCATCAGTGTAGTGCTGATGAGCAGGATGAAAGTAACCACTACTAATAGTTACCTTTGATGTCTCACGAATGTGGGGCATCAAACCATTGCCAGAGTGCTCAAACTGCAAGCAGTGAGCATGCGCACAATGCGTAAGCAGCAATGGCTCATCCTGTAGAGTGCTCAATATGACACAAAGGGCATAGAGCAATATCTAACTACAGACGGTACCGTTTCGGCCTTTTGGGCCTCATCAGTGTAGTGCTGATGAGCAGGATGAAAGTAACCACTATTAATAGTTACCTTTGATGTCTCACGAATGTGGGGCATCAAACCATTGCCAGAGTGCTCAAACTGCAAGCAGTGAGCATGCGCACAATGCGTAAGCAGCAATGGCTCATCCCGTAGAGTGCTCAATATGACACAAAGGCCATAGAGCAATATATAACTACAGACGGTACCGTTTCGGCCTTTTGGGCCTCATCAGTGTAGTGCTGATGAGCAGGATGAAAGTAACCACTACTAATAGTTACCTTTGATGTCTCACGAATGTGGGGCATCAAACCATTGCCAGAGTGCTCAAACTGCAAGCAGTGAGCATGCGCACAATGCGTAAGCAGCAATGGCTCATCCTGTAGAGTGCTCAATATGACACAAAGGGCATAGAGCAATATCTAACTACAGACGGTACCGTTTCGGCCTTTTGGGCCTCATCAGTGTAGTGCTGATGAGCAGGATGAAAGTAACCACTATTAATAGTTACCTTTGATGTCTCACGAATGTGGGGCATCAAACCATTGGCAGAGTGCTCAAACTGCAAGCAGTGAGCATGCGTATATATATATATATATATATATATATATATATATATATATATATATATATATATATATATATATATATATATATATATATATTTTTGTTTTTATTTTTTGTTTTTATTAGCTTCGCCAACTAAGGCAGGGTCACCACAACAGCATATGCCAATTACTGTGGGCCCTTTTTACCTAACCCACCCTGTCAACTTTTCCCTGTGGGAGGAAACCGGAGTACCCGGGGAAAACCCACGGCGTTCGGCAGAGCGTTGACTTTTACTCTTTTCACATGGGGACTGGGTTCGAGTCGCACTGAGAAGGTACTTAGTGAGACTCGAACCTGCAGCCTCAGAGGTGAAAGGCAAGTGCGCTAACCACTTGGCCACCGAAGCCCCTATATATATATATATATATATATATATATATATATATATATATATATATATATATATATATATATATTTAAAAAACTCATTAATAATTAAGGAGCAAAACACAAAGAAAAATCATAAGCGTGTCGTGGTTTTATATGTGATAAAAAATCACGTTAATTTACATAAACTTTAGCTTTGATTTTCTCGGTTTAGACAAAGTTTATTTTAAAAATTTCTTCGCCAATGAACTCGTATAAGATGAGTCGTTTTTAAGCTATTTAAAGCACTTGTAGTCGTGTTTTATCACATATAAAACACTCCGCTACGCGTCGTGTTTTATATGTGATAAAACACTCCTACGCGTGCTTTAAATAGTACATATATATATATATATATATATATATATATATATATATATATATATATATATATATATATATATTATATATTATATATAATTTAAATATGCTCTGGTTTTCCATTGAGCACTTTGCCAAAAGTTTTTATAACCAACAAAACCAAATTTTATATATATATATATATATATATATATATATATATATATATATATATATATATATATATATATATATATATATATATATGCTGTTCATTATTAGCTATATGTTGCTATAAAGAATAATATTATTTTTTTCAACGGCTGAGATTCCTACCTCAATAACATTCACGTGCAACAATTTCTGAAGCTTGGCATAAAGCACCTCAAAAGAGGGGCGTTCTTTTGGATTTTCATTCCAACACTCTAACATAATGACGTATATCTCAGCTGGACAATAATCAGGTTTTTCCATTCTCATGGAATCACTGAGCAACGCTACAAGTTGTTGAACAGGAATAGAAGGATATGGTGTTTGACCAAGTGTAAACATTTCCCAGAGTAGAATACCAAATGACCATCTGGCAAAAATTGGATAAAAAGTTCTTTCACTTGCAACATTCTTTAATAAGTTTAATTGATATTGAATTCAATTAAAGTAGCAGTAGTAAAGACTTTATTTTGAGCGGGTGGCCCATTCAGCCGAAGCTGGGATCCAGAGGGACCCTGTACAACAAAACATACATTTACAGCAATAAATAAACACAACAACAATCAAAAGTCATTCAGTCTAATAAGGTTCTTGAAAGATAACAACCGAGCAGATGCTTTAATTCTTGGTGGTAAAGAATTAAACAAAAGTGTTTCAGAATATGTAAAACTACGTTTCCCAAGGCTTAACTTAGGTTTGGGTTCATCTAGATGAATATCATTTCTCCTTCTGGTATTATATAGATGAATGCTACTATTTCTAATAAAGTATTCACTAAGAAGATGCTACTATTTCTAATAAAGTATTCCTTAATAAGATATATGTATTCACTATATATATATATATATATATATATATATATATATATATATATATATATATATATATATATATATATATATATATATATATATATATATATATATATATATATATATATATATATATATAAATATATATAAATATATATATATATATATATATATATATATATATATATATATATATATATATATATATATATATATATATATATATATATATATATATATATATATATATATATATATATATATATATATATAATTGGCACAAGATCACGCAGACACTTGAAGACTAACACCCGTATTCTAAAAGCTCACTCACATTCACACTCAATGAATGGAGGTTCAATCTGCTTCTTTTGATTGTCAACGCTATTTTTGAATAGCTGGAGGGTTAGTGTCGTACCTTACTGTGTGACTACTCACCCTCCCGCTATTCAAAAACAGCATTGACACTCAACAAAAGCTCAGATTGAACCTTCACTCATCGATGTGAGTGTGAGTGAGCTTTTCGAATACGGGCGTAAGGTGCATTTATTCCTCCCCAGCCTCGGACTGTTTTTAAGTCTGACCATCCTTAGATATTCATCGCCTCATTTGATCTGTTTTGTCTCGTTATTATACGAGCAGCTGAATTTTGCAATCGTTGTATATTGTCATTACACATGGCTAATAGTTCACCCCACAGAGTATCTGAATAAGTAAGAGTCGACAGTATTCACACAAGATTTATAAGACTGCATGCCTTTACTGGATTGACCACAGTGTACAGTATGTTTATGGCGCAGTGGCGCACAGTTGACATCTATGGAATACACTCTGGGAATACATCTATATTAAACCCTTATACTGAATGTATGCATTTTAGAAAATGTGAGGCTAGGGGCTTAAAACAAATGTTTCAGGTTAAAATATTGGTTTTCTGCTATTAATTTAAACCATTAAACCACTAATAGTCCATTATAGATTGGAGCAGGACTCTCTCGACTAATGCAGAAACAGCTGCATGGTTTCCAAGGGCACAGGCATTGTACGATGTGAAAAAGTATTGAAATAATATAAGGATCTGTGCCTTTCCGTTCTGTTGTAGTCTACGTGATATTAGATAGCTTAAGATCTACGACGTCGACGTCAGCTAGGACGTCAGGGCTATGCAGAGGACTGGGACTAGGATGTCTTCCTAATGTAGTCCCAGTCCTCTGCTTAATCCTGACGTCCTAGCTGACGTCGACGTCGTAGATCTTAAGCTATCTATTGTTCGTTTTTTCAACTTACGCATCACTCTCTTCGGTGTACACCTTCTCCAGTATCGATTCTAGTGCCATCCATTTAACTGGAAGATAGCCCTGTGTGTTGGAGATGTAATTGTTGCTATCTACTACCTCCCTGGCCATGCCAAAATCTGCAACTTTCATCACGTAATTATCTGCAACCAGAACATTACGGGCGGCAAGATCACGATGGATGCACTAAAAACAAACGAGTACTATTTTATCAAGAATATACTAGGAAGAGGAATGCCAATCATCTTTTGTTGAGACCGTGGCCCTGCTCACAAGGGGTGGCATAAATGCTGGGCCGCGTATGCTGATATTTGGACGACTCTCGTTTTAGACTTGCTCCAAGTCTCTGTTTTTGATGTTCCACTCTATTGCATTTTGATTATTGACATTATTGACACTCCCCTGAAGGGGCTTTTCAGTGACAAAAATTACAAACACATAAACTTACTGTATTATTACTACTACATTTAGTCCTAATTAATTTTATGGAAACACATTACTAGCAAACAAAGAGAATTTCACAAAAACTGCGACAGGGACATCAACAACAACAACAACAACAAGAACCACAACAACAGCAATGATGATAACACAACAACAGTTACGTCGATAACGCTTATTGATTTGAAAAAAAAGTACTTAATAACTATCCAGGAATTGCTGGAGAAGTTTATATCTTAGTTTTAACTTAAAGTTTGAAATAGAATTGCACCGACTTAAGTCAGTGCTAATGTTGTTCCAAAGAGTGACAGTTCGATAATGGAATGTTCTTTGTCCAGTAGCTGTTTTGTACAATGGAACATCCAGACTTCGTACATTTCGTGTCTCACGAGAGCTCACTTCACCTTTGGTTATTAACTGGGACGACAAGTAGATGGGGGCACAATTGTTCATGCATTTGAAGGCCAGTAAAACATCACGATAGTATAGATGCAATGTCACGGGAAACCACTGTATCTAACATGGTCAAGCCCGCCGAGAGAGCGGATGGTGGGGACACTTTTCCACGGGACTCCAGCTCAAAGGGGCTTCCAAAGCAATGAAGGTCCTTAAACGTTCTTGATACAAGATTGATTAAAGGAACGTCTTTCCTACACAGTTCTTAATACCGAAAATTATTTTTTATCTAAACTAAAATTTTTGGAAAATTAACGTATTGTGAAAAGGGAACTGGCAAAAAAATAGTAAATTTACCAACTTGTTACCTTCTTGGAAGCTAGAAACCTCATCCCATTGCATACTTGTATTGCAGTAGAGACAAGGTTTACAAAAGTAAGTCTTTCTTTTGATGCGAAATCCTCTTTAAACCAAGTTGGTTGGAAGATTTCTCTTCTTCTACGCAAAAAATCCAACAAACTGCCATGAGAACAATATTCAATAATCATGTACAGTTTAGGATATTTTGTGCAAGCTCCTAGGACGTTCACAATGTTCTCATGTTGTCCCACATGAATGATCATCTTCAGTTCACCAGCCAAGTCACGGATGTCGTTAACATTGGGATTATCTAACAAAGAAACTCGTTAGACGCCGGATGAGAATTGATGAGAGTTGCTACTCTCGCTGGCGTTTGCCAGGCAACTCTCATCGATTCACATCAACTTTTAAAATTTTGTGACCATTGATAGGTGTTTTCCCTACGCCTGCTGTAATATGCAGTTAAATCTGGTGAACTGGAACGCTACTTGAAGCAAGTTTCCAGACTTCTTACGCATGCGAAGAGCGCGGTCAATCCTTTAAGTAAACATGAATATGTGTGAAAATAGGAAAATTTTAGCGTGCGATTTCGAGTACACAAGATCAGGATATTAGTGGTAGCAACTTAAAACTACTTATTTAAATCCAGGGCAATGCAACCTAAACATTATAGTGCACAATATCTCCATCTGATTGGTTGATGACGTCATCCCTCGAGTATAATATTATAAGGACCTACGTTGCGACTTCAGATCACCCTGATGAAGACACTAGACCGGAGTATCTAAACGTTGACTAATGAATACAATTCTAGCGAGAATATATTGTATTTAAATAGTAAATCCAAAGCAGGGGCGAAAAAACGTGTCTAGCGAGATAACGATATTTGTAGGGTCCATAGCAGTGTGCAGTCACTATAGACAGTAACAACATATTAAAGGCGGTGCGTTTTTCAATAACATCTGACGCCACTGTTTAATTAATCTAAAGACCTACATTAAGTTACCTTTGGTGGTTTTCACAGCAACTGTCAAACACTCGTTTTCTTCATAATGAGCCAGTTTCGTCTTATTTCGAGCCTTATTCAACTGTTTTCTTTGTTTCCTAGCATGTGTGCTCTTATCTCGTGAGTTCATCAGCCCAATGCCGTACGCTTTTGCTTT